CAAACACACAAAATAACAGTAAGATAACATTAATGTATATACATTGTATTATTTTGTGTTTGCTGAGAAAACGTTTTTTAGTATGTCTTTAAAATATACGTTATCAGGGTTTTTATGTTATATATATATATAATAATTTTAATATTTTACAAATAATAATTTATATATATATAAAAAACAAAAAATTTACCTGACATAGGCTGTGTTCCGAAATTCACTACTAGTACTGAAAACCTATAGTTTGCGTCACGTATATTGTAGATTTTCAGTACTGGCAGTGAATTTCGGAACACAGCCATATTTACCCCATATACATTTTGCAAAGTTTCGGAAATTTTGTTCCACACATCCTTCTTTTTCCTAATATTTTTAAAATCTACATTACATTTATCATATAAACAATGATTTTCACGCACAAAATCAATAATTATTTCGTCTAAATTTGTATGTTCCATGATAAAAATGAAGAAAAATAAAGAGGTTAAAATAGAGGTTATATTATATTTGCATCCAGTCGTAAGGCCTATCGAAAGTCGGAAGCCGGAAAAGATGAGAGTTGACCATCTCTCGTTACGATAACGACAACCGACCATAGACATAGGAATATAGGGACCGAGCATATCGTTGCGGGGGGGAAGCTACTGCGGGACGGTGCGACGAGGTAAAGTGTGCCTAAATTTGATTGGCTATTAGTTTGCGCAAGCGCGATGTAAGTATCGTGCGACTTCCAGTGTGCATGGACATAGGAATATAGGGTCGGAGTGTAACGTCGCGAGAGAAAAATCACTGAAGGAAGGGGACGAGGTAAACTGTGCACATTTTTGATTGGCTACTATTTGACGCAAGTGCAGTTGGTCATTATTCGACGCAAAAATATTATGCAATTTGGGCAGATATAGGGTGTTTACGATAATTCAAGTTCGAGTTAGTTTCACTAGGACCGAAAAATGAGATAGACATAACCATCTAGAATCTTTATGATTTATGACAACTCAACGCTGTCTTGTATTGCTTGAGTTAAATTAATTGAATTTGTTGAGTTTATAGAGCAAATTTTATTGTAATAAAAAAATGTTAACTGCAAATCAGTCTATGAAAGAAACAAATAATGTTGGTATGTATGTGTGTGTGTTGGTATACCTCTTTAATAGATATAATTATATATATATGTATATAA